TGTCATTCTTGAAAAGGAGTACATAGTAAAATTATAAACTTTAGAACACAAGGTAACAAAGTGATTTTTTTAAATTAGATCTTTTATTTCTTGTAGTTTTAAGTACATAAGTACCTAAAATGCATATTCACGCTAAGTGGAGAGTTACTAAAGAGCCAAAACAGCATGAAATATCGAGTCTCCAGAAAATTTATAAATTGCAGTACTTTAAGTAATACACGCCACTAATGAAAAAGCTCTTACTCAGCTATCTGCTCATCGAATTCTCTCTAAATGTATTAATCACCTTCATGTTTTCTTTTTCACTTTCTGTTCTCAAAATGCTGGGTATTAGAGTTAAGAGTAATTGTTTTAATATGAAGAATTTATTTTTAGGAAGATTCACAAACATTTACAGGCTGACAGCCAGCAATGCATTTGCTGGTAGAAGTGAAAAGCAGGCAATACATAGTAATGTAAAATTGCAGAATGTACTGAATCTTTTACGTAATTAAAACACTTCTTTTTTATTATGGTACATCTGAGTTAAGTAGTGGTGTGTGGTGTATTTAATTATGGCAAAGCACACTAGGGCTATCTGCCTAAGGGGAGGGATGCCTTCGTGGAGGACTTTCTAAGAGAAACTGGCTGGTATATACGTTACACATGGGGAAAACCACGAAAACACCCATGCAGCCAGCCCGTTCGCGGGATTCGAACCTCGGACCGAACTACCAGTGTTCAGCGACTTTACCGCTCGGCCGCTGGTGGGCTGAGTTAAGTAGTGAAAAACACATACATAAACTGATGTTTGAATTAAATAATTAAGGATCTTAAGTTAACTTGATGACTTTCTTTTTATTACATCTAATGCCTTTCATGAATTGAATTATTAAGAGCAAAACCTGCATTTAGTTATTAAGATTTAGAGCAATTACATTCCATTGTATTCCCTTGATTCTATCGCATGATATATATTTCGCTTTTCTTTTTAATAAACTCCAGAATTTTGAATATGCATAAATTCAAGATAAAAAACATGTAATAGATTTGAAAGAAGTACACCAATTTGAAGTTTAAAACTACGTAAAACTCATTTTTAGGTTGCTTAGCTTGGCTTACATTTTACAGAAATTTTCATAAGTATTGATAGAATTTGATACAGGATCCCTTACCGTAAGAAGAAAAAAAATTCTGATCTAATAACTCTGTTTTACAAAAAATCTTCTAGAAGGAATTAATGATTATTCTATATAATTTCGACTTCACTTACACCGAAACTGGACTCGAAACTGTACTATAATCATAAGTAGTGTAGAACAAAGTTTTGTTTTTTAATGGTAGAATAGTATTTTTTAAGGAGACAAAGTCTTACTAATTCAAAAGTCAAACAACAAAAATCAGCGTTATACCTACAAAATTTTCACAGGGATTAGTTTCGATGGTTTTACCGAACCATCATCTTCAGCTGCAAAACTGCAAATGAACAAGATAGGATTTGTTCATTTGAACTATCTTGTTCATTTGCGGTTTTGCAGCTGAAGATGATGGTTCGGTAAAACCATCGAAACTAATCCCTGTGAAAATTTTGTAGGTATAACGCTGATTTTTGTTGTTTGACTTTTGAATTAGTATTTATTCGGCGTGTTATTGTGTCTTAATTAGACAAAGTCTTATCGTCAATGTATTAAGTAACAATTTTTATCATAACTTAATTAAAAATATTTTATTACAATTAATTACATTGTAGAGACATTATGTTTCTTCCAAGCAGGAGACATGAAAAATGTGCTATCCCTTCCTGGGTGTCGAACCACGGGCCTCTCGAAAACGCGTCGAGCGTACTGACGACTACGCCACGAAGGCATGCTAAGAAGGCGGGAGAAATACCTTATATACTCTCCCCCTTTAAAAGGCGATAGGGGATATAGGGATCCAATCGCTAAGTCCTGGTGGGGAGAACCATTGTCCACCACCCTTTTTAGTTCGGCCACTACTGTAGAGACAGACTACTTCGAAAAAGGAGACATGAAAAATGTGCAATGCTCTCGCTGGGACCTCGAACCACGGACCTCTCGAAATCCCGTCGAGTGTGCTGACCACTACACCATGAAGGCATGACAAGTAGGCGGGAAAATAACTCATAACATAACTGAAATAAAATACTGCAATTTATGCGAAAGAAAGAAAAGAAATTTTAATTACAGTGAATGAATATTATATTGCTTTGATGATGAAAGTTTGGTAATCAAACATCAGTTCTCATCTAATTCGAAAACTAGAGACATTATTAGCTCATTTAAAATACGCTCGGCAATTATTTTCTAATTTGAATGAATTGTTTCCTCTTTCTGTGGCTAATCACGTAATAACATTGTTTGTTCCAAAAGTAATGAAAATTATTAAAAAGATATTCGACAGGCATGCAGTTATAGTATACTGCCTTCGAAATTAGGCGCCTAGTTGTCAAATACAGCGACTTCGGCTTTGTTGCTTTATTTTATAGTAAGGTAAGAACTCTTCAAGTGAGATATTGTTCAAACTATTAGCAACAGCTGCTTGCACTTTTACAGCTGTCTCAAAATTACCTTCTGAAGTAATTCCGAGATGCGCTATGAGCTTGGGGAATACTTGATCTTGGAGACAAATCACACTGAGCGAAGTCAGAGCTGTGCAGTAGATACAAAAATATTGTGATTATATTTGAGGGAAACATTCTCTCATAGACAATGATGTGTGCCTTAGTGCTCTGCCGGGTTAAAAGAATACAACGTCATACCCATAAAACATCTTCAACAAATATGATGTTTCAAAAGCAGAATTTTCCAATTTTGCGTAAACCTTATCACGCAGTGTTGTTCGAGACCTTTCGTCATTTTTGTATGAGAAAAGACACAAAAACTTCCATTCCTTTTACTAGCATAATGACCTGCTTCAAGCTCCACTTTTCTTTTCAGGACATCCTGCATAAATATCTCATTTCTTTTTGAATGGGCCGTGTATGAAAAGGACTTAGAAAGTATTCGAGTATTATTGTAAAACATACACTACGAATAACTTCATTATTTCAAAGAAAAATAAATTCCGTTTTATGATTTATGAGTAAGAAATTCATAAGAATTACTGAAAAATCTACAAGGAGGTAAAAACCTTTTAAATACTGAATACGGTATTTCCGTGTAGCGAAGTATTTTTAGCAGAGAGTGAGGAATGGTACCAGATTCATCTAAATTGCTTATAGCATTTCTGTAAATTTATCTTAGATCTAAGGTTTAGATATTCCTAATTTTAAAAACTTTAAGCATTGTTTATGCATCCATATGAATTACTGTGTATTGAAATAATTCTATAATTGTTTTATAATTGTTACACATTTCCTTTATCTGTAATAATTTACTACTTTTTTATATTATAAACTAAACTAAACTAAACTTTGAAGTTTTGTACAAAATATCATTCAGAGTTATACATTTTACTAGCATAATAAATGTAAATTAATTTATTATGCTAGTAAAATGTATAACTCATTTTACTAGTATATTTTACTATATACATTTATTAATAAAATGTAAATTAATTTATTAATTAAAAGGTTACATATAAATTATTTTTATGTAAAAGAAAACTGAGCTTATACAATCCACTTAAATATGACAACGGTCCCTAATTTATATGAAACTTGTATTAATTAGTTGAACGTGTACAGAATGTGGAAGTACATTTGCGTTGCTGCAGCTTTATTAGATCGAAAGATATCAAGGGCGTGTACTTTTTTAGAACCACACGTGGGGAAAATTATTAATATTTGAGTATTATTCTCAGAAACTGAGGGCAAAATTATTTCATAACATTAAACATGCACGTTTTTTCTCTTAATTATCTGGTGAGTTCCGTTGCTTAATCAGCGAGACTAACTTTCATCTTTTGTTTATCAGAATGAGTTTACAATTCTCCTGGACGTAATTAATCAGTCCTGGGCTTCCAAACAACAATGACATAAGAAATAACACGACATATAATATTAGTAATTGGTAGAACGTCATAAATTGAAATAGATTTTTTAATTCATTCACTCAACAAGTAATTATATTATTGTGTTCAGTGAAGAAATTAAATTTAATGATGAATATTTTGCTCCATATCGTACATGAGCACTTTTTATTAAAATAAATTCGTGTTGCTTTGAAACTTTTTTGGCTAACCCCAGTAATTAATCTTTCAGAGCGAACTCTTTATTCAACTCTACTCTAAACATGTAAAAGCTTTTGATCCATGATTAAAAGAAGAAATTTTCTTCCGTCCAAGACTTTAAAATTATATTTTATCTTTACTGGGATTTAATATGTTTAAAAGACTATTTTAAATTGACATAATGAGAGTAATTATTAACGAAACTATTTATATAAGAAAGTAAATAGGATCTTACTTTCTGGTCTTTCCTTATTTTCATTAACATTTTGATTTCATTACTTTCAATTAAGCATTTATTGATTAAATTACTGTTTATTAAAAATCCATTAAATATTGTTAAACCTCATTCTTCAGAACACAAATGGAATAGAATAATAGTTATCAGTCGTAAAAAAGGTAAGGCAAGAAAAATAAATAGAAAACATTAATACGATTCATTTATGAAAAACGCTTTTGATAATTACTGTAACTAATCTACTTGCTACAAGACGATTTAAAAGAAGCTTTTTTGCGAGCACGATTAATTTGCTAAAGCATGAGCTCTTTCAAATTAAAAGAAGCTTATTGTAAGATTTTAAGAATTAGAAATTTTTGAGTTTTAGAGATTAATTTGATAAATACATACTTCTAAGGACTTTTAGTTTAAAAACTGGTACTTGAAAAACTTTAACGACTAAGAGTTAGCTTAAAGATACTAAAAAGGTAAAAAATGTCTAATATTTTAAATTTTAATTAAAAAAATTGATTTCATTGAGTCCTTTCGAGAGTCAAAGGGAATCTAAAAGATAAAGTCAATATGAGAGATTCAGATGAACGAAATGTTAACTTACAGTGCACAACTAGCTTTGTCGATCGGACTGAAGGCAAACCAATCCCGTTATCAGCCACACATTCAAGCACACCGGCATCTTTCCTAGAGGCATTTAAAATCGTTAGTATGGAATGGCCTAGTTCATTGGTGAAAGTTAACAGACGCATGTCTGTTCCTTTCCAAGTAATAGTATCTTCAGTTAAGGGGTTTCCATCAGCCGAACATTCTAGATGGGCAGTTTCACCTTCTGCTACTTCGGTGCTGGCTGAAATGTTGTAAATAGTTGCTGGATCTGGAACAAAAATGTATTCTTAAATGAATTTAGGAATCAAAAAGTAATTTAAAAATTATTAAAATAATGTGAAATGTTCAAAGATGCCTGTATAATGTTTAATTCCGTTTTAATTTAAATAGCGGTAGCTATACGTAATGAAATATTCTTCATAATATCACTTTAAGCGTTAACAATTTAATAAGAATTTAGTGCTTAGCACACAAAACTGTTTTTGTTATAGCCCCAAACACACAGTAAAATCATTTATAGTCTTTAACCAAAATCATTAAAAAAAATAAATAAAATTATTTATTTAAAATCTTGAATATTTTGAATGAATAATTACACAAATGAACAACAGTGGAATAAGAAGGTTTTCTGCCAGAATAGGAGTTTTCTCTCAAACGAATAGACGTTTCATCCAATAAGCAATTCAGGTTTGAAAGCTGTAGTGAAACGTTAAGCTTCTTTCAAGTTAAGTATTCAGTTCAAAAATGACTTTTACAAACTCCATATTTAGGCTACCCCATTTTGTAATAGAAATCCATTTGGATCATTGATTATGATAATTCCGCATGAATATTGCTTTGTGAAATACGTAATAAGTGCTTCTCCTGCATTAGTTAAACGGCTATTCATATAGCACTAGCCTGATAACTAATCTTAGTTTGGCAATTGATATAGGAAACAGTAAAAAATATTAAAATTTGTACGTCTGTTTACGTACGTCGATTAAAATTTGTACGTACGTCCGTAAATACGTTTAAAGATATGCACAGAAAACTACTTTTTGCGAATATTTGCTTTAATATAAATACATTCAATTTTGTAATAAGTAAGCATCGAAGATATATAAATTATTATTATTATTAACGTTTCCATCTTTTGAATTTTTACGCGAGTGCAAGTTATATTAAAGGTTTTTTTCTTCAATAAAGATAAAATAGCTATAACAAATTTAAAAGAAAATAATTCCACCTTTCTTCAGTTCAACAACAACAGTTTTTGGGAATAAACCAATAAATTTTCGAAATAGCAGCTTTTTAACGAAACGATCAATTTCATAAAATAATATACTTGAAATTCAAGGTAAAACAGAAATTTTAAGTAGAAGCCCAAGTGAACCAAACTGTGATCCTAAGCACCTTAAATATTCACAGCCGAAAAATTGCATTTTACATAAATTCTTTCCTGGGAGGAAAAAACAGGTAGGTACTTTCGTTTAAATTTTCTTCGCATATCTTAAAATAATTTTCAAAACATACCAAAGCCTTCCCGAACGGAATCGGAAGTTTAAACAAGACAGAATGATCTGTCAAGCGTGGAGAGTCACTGAAATCGTGTTTATATAATCTTAAGTCACATCTTTATCCAGTTTTATTTCAAAGCATGAAAGCTTTGTTTTCAGCGACACTTGAGAAGATATTTACATTTTCTAAAAATGGTGAATTTCCTCTTATGAGCATTTACTGAGCTTCTCTAAATTTACTAAGCCTTTAATGTTTTGTTCTTATGCCATTAATCTTTTGGGGATATAAATGTACTAAGTATTTGCTAAAACACTGCCAAATTTTTAAATGTAAATCTAACTTCTACGGATGAAAAAGTATTTGAATTACAGGGTAGAATTAATTTCAGTAGAAAAGTGCATTAAATTGTAAAGTGAGAAGAGCTCTAAACCTCTGTTTGTAAATACCTCTAAAAGGCTATTTTTTATTTCTAGATATAGAATGAAGAAAACATGATTACTTACATAAGACGTTAAGGGTAAGGGTAGCACTAGCTGAACCTTCCAAATTTTGGGCAACACAAGTATATGCTCCTGAATCGTGTCGAGAGACACGAGTGAAATACAAAACAGATCCATCAGCACTAACACTCGAAGGTTGTTTATAACTATCTCTTCTGTCAGGAATTGGAACGCCTTCTTTTGTCCATCTGTATCTATAGACTTCCGGATTGGCTTTTGCTGTCATATTTACCTCTCCAGACCGACCTTCAATCATTTCGACAACTTTCCCAGAAGTCAGAAATACAGGAGCAACTGTAAAGAAAAGTTAAATTCTCTAAGGCTTGATGAGCTAGGAACAGATTTACGGCAAGAGAATGTCAAATATTGTCCTTAACGCAAAACAAATTGTAAATTATGAGTTATAAAATAAAATAATATGCAATAAAATTATGCCGAAAAAAACTGCTTACATCGAGCACCGTAATTGAATATAAGTAATCGTCCTCTCTCTTTCTACATGCACACATCCAATCTTACAAGTATATATACTTGTGTACACCGTGTCTCTAAAAGTATTTATCCGGCATTTCTTTTCTCAACTGTTAGTCGTAGACATCTATCTCCAGTCATAAAACTGTTTAAAATGATTCAAAGTTTCATATTTCGGCATTTTTTAGTTAAAAGCAATTTTTAAAGAATTAGGAAATCTAACTTCTTTCACTTTCCTCCAGTCCCTACACTTATATTTAGAAACTTCTGTACTCGTTATAAAAGGTACGACACAAAATGTTTGACTCTCGTGAGACAAAAATTGACCGAGATATTTAATTTCAAAATTTGGGGTGTTTGAAGTCATATTTAATTAGCATAGAAAAGATTTTAGTAAATAAATTAAAAATTCAAGGTTGTTTTCTTAGCTGAAATGCACATAATGATACTATTTTGTGATGAATTTAATTTCTAACTTTATTGCACCTGGTACGAAGAACGAAGTTTAACACATATTATTTATAAGTTTTCAAAGTCTAAAGAATGTGTTATTAATATTCTCATGAAGTTTTATTACTTTAGAATTACAATCTAGTAATCGTACAAAAAGTAATTAAATTACAAATATTTTTAACTTTTAATTAATGCAAAATAGTAATAAAAGTTGGCTGCCTGCCACTACTGAAGCCAGCAAGCGTTTCCTACAAATCGATTCGATAAGGGTCTGCAAATAAGATCTCCAGTTTGAAAGCGTTTTATAAATTGATAGTTTCTTTTTAGTTACACATGCAAGCATTTCTTGTTTTGCGTACAACATTTAAATGTGTGGTTTATGTATCCGTCTTTAAAAACAAACATCTCGGTCAGTTTGTGTCACATGAGAGTCAAACATTTTGTGTTTTAGCTTTTATAACGAGTACAAAATCTTTCTAAATATAAGCATAGAAATTGTAGGTACGTGTAAAAAGTTAGATTTCGTAATTTTTACAAAATTGACTTCCTTAAATTAAAAAACACCGTAACATAAATATTTGAGCCATTTAATGTTTTTTGTAATTGCAAGTATATGTCTACGACCACCGATTGCGAAATTAAAAGTCGGCTAAAGAGTTTTGTAGCACAAGGTATAAGGTGTCCTTTAATGAAGTCACTACATTTCGGCAATGCATGTTTTTACTTAATAATAAGTAGAAAATATTCGAATGAGTTTACGAATTATGAAATGTTGAATATTAATGGTAAGCATATAGGAAGACTAGCTGACTTCCTTGTGAAGAGTGTTTCAAATCTGTTGAACAATATATCCAATATGCTAGTGAAAGTCATGGAAAAGGATCTGAATTGTTAAGAGATTCGAATTCTTCACAAGATATTTAATGATCAAGCGCTAGCCTCAGCATACTGTTGTTACTGATTTTGAATGTTTTGTAACTCTTAAACTACAGACCTTTAAGGTATTTCTCCAACCTTCTTAGCATGTCTTCGTGGTGCAGTGGTCAACATGCTCGACGCGAATTCGAGAGGTCCGTGGTTCGAGTCAAGGCGAAGACGTTGCTCATTTTTCACATCTCCTGCTTCCAAAAAAACCTAATGTCTCTACACACTCTAGGATAATTTTGCTTATCTTTGGCCGAAGAATGTACTTCCAGTCTTTAGTCACTTTATTCTGGGACCCTTTATATGTACAGACACTTTATATATTGGAACACTTTATAGGGAGAGACACTTTATATTCTGGAACATTGTATATGTAAAGACACTCTATATTCTAGGAAACTCTGTATGTACAGGCACTTTACATTCTGAGACACTCGTATAAGTAGTGCAGAAAGTACAAAAGAAGATTTCTAATCAATTAAAGTCAAAGTTTGCTTAACGATGTAAGCAATATATTCAATTACATTTCTAACGGAACTTTCCAGGATTTGATAGAGAGATAATTCTTTCTGTAGCTTTATCACTTAATTCTTTTTAAATTTTAGAATGAAAGCATCCACAATTTACTTATTATTATATCTACAATCAGACAGATTTAAATCATTTGCTTTTAATGCTTTTTTATCGTTTCGCAAAATTATTTTCTTATTTATTAGATTAATGTTACTTTCCCTGAAATAAAAAACTTATCTTGCTAAATTTTCTCAACGATTTACATAAGGATAAAATTTTGCATCTCCTAATAGTATGAAACAGTTTGGATCTCATTTTAATGCAATTAACAATAAAAAGTAAAAAAACCTATTTTCTAAGCGGTAGAGTAATTCGTTTCAAGGGATTACTACACATTTAATACTCCCTGTTGCAAGGTTAATGCATTGAATAAACGAACTGTGGGCTTTTTTGCGTTCCAAGTTAAATTTTAATTTTATTTCGTAGCATTTTTATTCCTAAGTAATTCTTAAATTGGGAATAAAATGGTGCATTTCTGTTAAGAAGTTTCTCATTTCAAGTTTAAAATCATGCTTACGTTTAAGAAATAAAATGTTTTCCTATTTTGCATCAGTAATTTAACGTTTTTAACTTTTTGAATAAGAACACAATAAATTTTGATACAGGCAGCATCTCTTGAGTAACTAATGTCATTTATAAGTGACGCCCTTACATGAAATGTTTCCTGACAAAAATGTCTACCAAACATTAGAATTTGTAAAAGGTAAATCCTATTTTCTTTCTCAATTTACCAAAGAATATTTACATTCAACAATTTTGGACGATGCAAATCCTTCATCATTGCTGAATAATGCAAAAATATTCTTATAATTACTTTCTTTCCTAGCAGTAATAAAAGTATTATACACAGAAGATAAGCATACACACACATTTCACCATAAAACAAAAACGAAAATCAGAAAATAAAGTAAGAGTTCTGATAAAAAGGAATACTTTTTATTTTTATGAATCAGATATCGTCATTTTTATTGTTTGCACTTTCCGCTGTTTTCTGTGGATTTTCTTGCTTGTAAAGCTTCTTTTGCCTACTGAAATCTTTCTCCTCTCTAGCTGAGTTTTCTTTTACACCCGATAATGTAACCTGTCACTTACTTGGAGGTAAATGTCAGTTGGAATAAGCATCTAACAATGTAGCCTTGTCTTGAAACAAAGGAATTGGAAAAGAAACTGCGAAATTTCCAACTTAAATATGGTAAGAAATGGGAAAAAGCCTGTTCATTTAATATAAAGAAATGAAATAAGAAAGTCTAATACTATCATTTCATTTTAACAACCAAATTGCAGCCTATTGAAGCATGGCTTGAATGAGTTCCTAACAAAAGAAGCTTTACATCCTGTCTACCGAGCAATTAGAAAAATAATGATATCTATAATGCAATACTTCTTAATTGCCTTCATTTTAATTTTTCCGTAGTGGGAAGAACAGCACTTCGGTTAGAAAATTAAGTTTAATTCTTTTACAAAAGGAGTAAATGCAGATCATCATCAAGGAGTGCCATGTTAAATCAAGCAGTAAATACACTCTTAGACAAACAAACAAAAAAAAAATGTACCATGACGCACCGAGAAGATATAAATCAAATTGGAGACAAATTGATATGAATACAGGTTTCGACGGAAAATGCAAAATTTTACATTTTGGCTGCCAATGAATGAACGATTGTCGCTACAGCGCTTCTGATCTGCGCAACTGGTAGGATATTTAAGAGGAGAAATTCCGATTCCAGGTCATAAATTCTTCACGAATTTTATTCCGATGCCTTGCATACAGGTGCGCGAACGATATGCGCAGATGTCAGAACTTGAGAGAGATCGTGTAGTTGGGTCAAAGAAGCCGGTTGGTCTTATCAGCGAATAGCTCGACATTTGAGCAGGAGCGATGCCATTATTAGACGATGTTAGCAGGAATGGGTGAACCATGGCCGCACACAGCGTCAAGAAGGAAGCGGTAGGCCTAGAGAAACGACAGAACGTGAAGACCGAGCAATCGTCAGAGCGGCACTCACAGTCCCAGATGCATCATTATCATCAATTGTACGTGCAACTAGTGCTTCAGTGACCGCAAGGACCATTTATAGACGGCTCAAAGAAAGGGGGCTGAGGTCATGGCGCCCCTTGCGCCGACACCATTGACCTCTGTACAACGTCAAGCCCGTTTGCAGTGGTGTCGGGCTCATTCGCACTGGAATGCCACTGACTGGAGTAGAATAGTCTTCAGTGATGAGTTCCGCTTTGAACTGAGTCCCGATGACCAGCGAAGGCGAGTCTGGACAGCGGTGTGATACCAACCTGACTGTCTTCCGGCAGACAGGCCGACAACCAGGAGTGATGGTCTGGAGTGCCATTTCATTTCATAGTAGGACCCCTTTGGTTGTCATCCGTCGCAACCTTACAGCACAGCGGTACGTCGACGAAGTTCTAAGGCTCATTGTGTTGCCCTTCCTGTCACGCCACCCTCGGCTTACATTTCAGCAAGATAATGCCCGCCCCCACACTGCACATGTTTCTACTGCTTGCCTTAGCACTTGCCGAACATTACCTTGCCCAGCAAGGTCGCCGGATCTCTCCCCTATTGAGCACGTCTGGAGCATTATGGGCAGTCCCTCCAAACAGCTCGGGATGTTGACGATCTAATGCGCCAGTTGGACAGAATTTGGCACGATATCCCTCAGGAGGATATCCGCAACCTCTATCAATCGATACCAAGCGAAATGACTGCTTGCATAAGGGACAGAGGTGGATAAACGCGTTACTGACTATTTCACTTTGTGAATCTCTATCACTTCAAAAGTCATCCAATTTTTCTCAAACTGTAATCATCCAATTTTTCTCAAACTGTAATCATTTGTTTTTCTATACATGTACATCACTTC